AATGCGAGCACAAACGCACACGCAAAAATGGCAAGGGACGTTTTTTGTTATATGAATTGTTTCCGCGTCTTTAGTCATTCGATTGAAAGTTGTCATAAACGCACCCAAAAGAATAAATAATTCAAAACCGCAATATGCAACAGAAACCCATCGCTTCAACGAACAAACGACAACAACAACAACGACGACGGCGACGATGATGATGATTATGATGCACTCAAGTCAAGCGTGTGGCCTAACATTTTAATCGGCCGTAAATTGAGCAACCCATAAGAATATCCAAAAAGCAATTTATATCAAAGCCATTAACAATGCCGGCGTTTAGTATGTGGGTAATGTGCATGTGACTCATCGATGATGGTGGAAAACAAATCGAATAAGCGGGTATAAAATGTGGCGCGATGAGGCACAACGACTGAGCGAGAGAAAAAATGAAGCCGTCAAATAAACTTCTTCTTTCAAAATGTACTAAAAATCGAAACCGAAAACTATGATGAATAGTGAAAAGTCGTAAACTTTTGCAGCAAAGGAAATCGAAAGGAGCAAATGCAGAAGTCAACGATTTATAGCGTAAAGAAATAAAGAAAAAAAAATGTATGAAAATAACAATACATTTCACGACTAATGCTGCCAAAGTCTTCCCTTTCAATAGGCAACAATCTCGCATAAGCCGGCAGAAGCATGAAAATTGAAATGATAAAAAAATCGACTACAACAACAAACGCAGTACCCAGTTGTGTGTTTGTTTGCTTGAAACTAGAGTAATTCGAAGCCAGTCACTCGATATATAATACGTGAATGAGATGCGCATACAAACATGACTATTATGAATCAGAGTGAGTGTTATGTTTGTCTATATAAAGTTGCTCTTATTGTTTTGTTTCTTCTCTCGTCTTGCGCCCGGCATTTGCTGAATCCCTTTATTTTGACGCTCGTCAACAACGACCCGAATTGTATTTACAATCGAATTACGATCTGTATTGCAGCACCCCTTGACACTCCGTGTGTTGTGCGCGGATACGAGCACATAAATTAAAATGGTTTCTTTTTCTTTCGATTCGGGCATTGATGCAAACGTACCAAAAATCCGAAAGTGCATAAACACATCAATCAAATTATTTACAATTTTCGATGGGAAGCGGGAGTACGAGTGAGCCGTGTGGAGAGAGAGTGAGAGAGAGCGACAAAGAAAAAGAGAAATGCGGAGTGGATGAAGAGAATGAGAAGAAAAGACACACCCGGGTTTGTATAGTTTTGTTTATTTGAGGCGTGTGTTTTTGTGAATCGATGCGAATATAGAGTATATCCATTGTGCAGTAGTGGCATTGTTGGATATGAACTCGAGCCGGCAAACTGTGCTGAGCAATAAGCGAAAAGGAAATTATGATGTTTGCTAGCGTCGACATACACTCTATCCCAAAACCGGGGCTCTTTCTTTCTCTCATCTCCTCTCTCCTCTCTCCTCTCTCTCTCTCTCGTCGGCTCCTTCTATCTCTAATTCCAACGAAAATATATGAAGAGAAATTGCTAGCATTGGCACTGCAGTAAGGCACATATAACAGATAATTATGTTGAGAGTTCGTTTTTCAATTCAACAAATGACAAAACGCAGCATTGATCGTTTGTCGGGCCAGCATGGGGTCGATTTACTTCTCAGTCACTCGTTCTCTCGGTCGTTCGGTCGCTCTCGAATATTTCATTCATGCGAAATTTTGAAATATGATTCATCTATATTGACATCATGTCATGCTCTGATGCGGTTTGATGTAACAATCCACAAGTATTTTTTTTTTTCAAACTCTAAACCAAAAACCACACCAACAAATAATCAATTGAATATAGTTACAATTAAGCGGAGTTTTGTTGTTGCTGTTTTTTTCTTCTTGTCCCATTTTATTTTGTGAATGAGAGCAAAATATTCACCACCGAAAAATTGCTTTACACATGCTCACATTTCAATTTGCCGGCTGTCATATGAAACGGCTTTGTTTTTCAATTTATTTTCCGATAGGATTTTTATTTGCCGATGCTGCACGCAACGGTATTTTAATACGTTTCGGAATGTTTGAAATGCGTTTCCAAATTGTCAGTGATGTAATCTGGTTTTATGGAATTTTTTTCCGGTTGCTATTTGTTTTTTTCATTACCTCTTTTGCATACAACCAATCCATTCAGCCAATTTATTTATGCGACTTTTGCATGAATACACTCCTTATTTATGTGCTATTTAGAAATGCATGCTACGTAATAGCCACCATACTATAGTGGTAATCGCGATTTTGAAAAATCGTATTTTATAATAAACGAATTCTTTTTGCTGTACTTTGCTTCGATATAGAACGATGTAGAAATTGCCCTGAAATAAAGATTCAAGTTTTATTGCGAAAATATGACAAAAATAATGAAACTCTTTTGATTGCTAAATTTTTGGTAATTACTAATTAGACTATAATTAAACAGTGGTTCAGACGGGAGGAACATTACGCAATGTCTAACTGATGTGTCAGTTGTTATTTACGCAAATGTGTAGAAAAGTTACTTATGCTGCTGCATTGATCATAGTATGATTTGGAATTTCAAAAATCAAAACCCTTCAGAAAAATAAAACGTTGAACGCAGTAGTCCATTCAATCATAAGTCGAAAAGACAGTCTTCTAAATAGACTAAAAAAGATTCTCTTTGGAAAACCCAAAAGATTAAAGAACAAAACATTAAAAATAATTCTTTTTCGTCGTCATCCAAACGACAAACAAAGATTTCAAAGCAAAAATATTAGGTTTGAAAACCAAAAGGCAACCAGGCACTCGATCAATCAAAATGAACTTAACGGGATCTCTAGCTGTCGCTGTGGTTGCAGTTATCTGTGTTTTAACGATCCAATCGGGTATGTGAGAAAATCACGTTTTTTAATTGATTAAACGTCGCTTGTTCTTAGAAGTAAAGAAAAATCTTTGGATGAGTCGAAATTTTCGAATCGTTTTTCGTTTTTTCAGTTTATTCCCTCAACTGTTGGCATTGTGACAACGTTTTGTTTCGTGAGGAAAAATGGTGTGATAATCCTTTTGATAAAATTAATGCACCTGCGTTACGTCTCGTGGAGTGCGATAAACATAATCCTGTTTGTGCAACGGCCACATATTGTAAGCTATTGCAAGTTTTGGTCAATTCTTTATTATTGCAAATTGAATTATTATTTCTGTATATTCTGTACAAGCCACTGAAAAATACATCAGTTGCATTAACTCACACTTCCGAGTAAAAAATTTCGTTTACATTTTGATTATAATACCTACCTAATCGAAAATAAACTATTCTCGTCTCGTTTCATTTTTGTATGCCCGTTCAGCTGTCGATGGTGTAAAGGCAATCCAAAGAAGGTGCGCGCCAGAAAGTTTCTGTGACACTAAGAGAACAAATCGTAGTCTTGTACAATGCAGCACTTGTAGAAAAGGTGGCTGTAATGGTGCTGCGACCACCACTCCTGCAATATTGCTTTCAGTTGCGGTAGCCTTTGTGCTGATTGTTGTACAATACTGAATATCACCTGGATCGATCCTGCATTTAGCTGATAATGTTTATCATTCAATGTTGCAATAAAGAGTCAAATTAAAAGAAAAGACAGGATTTATCTTCTATAAAACGCTTAACGACCTTGTTTTCACAATTTTTTTCTAGCATTTTTATTCAAGCAACGGTGTCAAATACATCTCGGGATTCTTAGGCTGAATTTCGAAATTGAACGTAAAATAAACATATTTCGTGACAATTTTTCACTGTTTTGCTTCGTTTTCCATGGTATTTTTGTCGGGCTCAACATTCGATTCAGTCTGTTTGAGTGCAAAACTCTCCATATTTTTATTGTGCTATTCAAAAATCTATGCCACATAGTAGTAACTATTTCGCAGTGACAGTTGTAATATCATTCGATGCGATTTCGAAAAATCGGTTCATTTCTTGCATAAAATCAGTTGAGAGCGATTAAGAAATTAGTCCGAAATGGAAATTGAGAGCAAATACGATAAAGTGAATGCAATTTTGTTAAATCACTCATTTTTTGGTAATACAACTACAATTAAACAGCGATTTCAAGGAAGCAACGTTACGCAATGTCTAACTGAATAATGTGTCAGTTGTCATTCATGAAAATGTGTAGAAAAATTATTTATGCTGCTTGATTGATCATAGTATGCTTTGGAATTTCAAAAACCGAAACCCTTCAGAAAAATAAAACGTTGAATGCAGTAGCCAGTTCAATCATAAACCGAACAGACCGTCTTCTCAACACACTAGAAAACATTCTCACTGGAAAACTAAAATAAATCAAAAGACAAAAAAAACTCTAAAAATAATTCTATTTCATCATCATCCAGAAAAAAAAATTAAACAGCAACAATATCATATTTGAAAACTAAAAAGCCAACATACATTTCGGTAGTCATTTGGTGAGTCTTCAAATTTTTAGAGAAGTAATCATATTTTTCACTGTTTTGGTTCATTTTGAATGGTATTTTTTCGTGTTAAAAATTCGATTCAGTTTATGCAATTTTTGGGTGAATACTCTCCATATTTTTTATGTGCTATTTAAAATTATATGCTATGTAGTAGTCAGTGTTCTACAATGACAGTTGTAATATCATTCGATGCGATTTTGAAAAATCGGTTTATTTCTTACATAAAATCAGTGTAAAACGATGTAAAAATTGGCCAGAAATGGAAATTGAAATTTAAAAACAAACATACGATAAAGTGAATGCAATTCTGTTAAATTACTCTTTCATTGGTAATAACACTGTATTCAAACAGCAATTTAAAAGAAGGAACGGTACGCAATGTCCAACTGAATAATGTTTCAGTTGTCATTTATGAAAATGTGCAGAAAAATTACTTATGCTGATTTATTGATCATAGTATGCTTTGGAATTTCAAAAATCAAAACCCTTATGAAAAATAAAACGTTGAACGTAGTAACCATTTCAATTATAAATCGAATAGACAGCCTTCTGAACACACTAGAAACATTCTTATTGGAAAACTAAAATAAAATAAAACAAAAAAACCTTAAAAATAATTCTTGTTCATCTCCATCCAGAAAAAAATCGCATATTCAACTATTAAATTCGAAATCCAAAAGGCAACCAGGCATTCGAACAATCGAAATGAATTTAAGGGGATCACTAGCTATCGCTGTGGTTGCAGTTGTCTGGATTTTAACAATCCAACCGGGTATGTCGGAAAATTATATTATTTAATTTTTTTTAAATCGCTTCTTCTTAGAAGTGGAAATAAATCTTTGGTTGAGTCGAAATTTTTAATTCGTTTTTCGTTTTTCTAGCATATTCTCTCAAATGTTGGTACTGTGTTTCCACTGTACAACCATGGTGTGGTGATCCTTTTGATTCAGATAGTGGAAATTCTACATATCAGTGCGAAGTAACTTCTCCGACTGGTGTTTGTGTTAAAGCCAAATTAAGTAAGTTATTGCATATTTTTATATTATTATGAATTCAAATACTACTTCCTGTATATGGTAGTAGCCACTGAAAAATCACATCAATAGCATCAACTCACATTTTCGAATAATTTACTGCTTATATTTGGGATATACACTCAAAGAAATAACATCTCAGAACTAAACGACGCGAATTATTTAATAATGTATTCAGATGATACGTTCGTTTTAAATTGTATTTTTCATCTAATTTTCATTTAAAATAGCGATTTTTTGCATTCTCTTTTGTGCGGATTTTCTTCGGTTGTGTGGTGAATTTTAAACGAAAACTAGATGACAAATACCATTTCAAACGAATGTATCTTTTGAATACACATTTTAGATGACAGTTCGTTCAGATTTGAGAAAACATTGTTTTGTGTGTAGTACCTGCCTGAATGAATAACGTTTGAAGCTAACCTATTCTCGTCTCTTTTTGTTTTTGTATCCATTCAGCTGATGGTGATAAATCCGTCACGAGGGCTTGCTTCCCAACAGATCCCTGTATTAACGCGGCAGAAGGGGGGGAATGCACATCTTGCAAGACGGACTTATGTAATGGTGGTTCAGCTTCTGGTCCAGCCATATTGCTTTCAGCTGCGGTAGCTTTTGTGCTGATTACCATACAATACTGAATTTCCCCTGGACCAACAATGAATTTGACTGATTATATTTGAAAGTTCATTCAATATTGCAATAAAGGGTCGAATCAAAAATTGCGAGTTTTTTTTTCTATAAAACGCTTAAAGGCTGTTTTTCGATTTTCTAGGATTTTCATTTGTGCAACGGTGCCAAAAACATTTCGGGATTCTTTAGCTGAATTCCTAAATTGAAAATAAAATAAACATATTTTTCACTGTTTTGGTACTTTTGCGTGTTTAATATTCGATCTATGTCTTTTCTGCATGGATACTCTCTATATTTCGAATGTGCTATTAAGAAATCGATGCTACATATTGGTCACCATTCTACAGTGGCAACAACATCCATGCATTTTTGAAAGATCGTTTCACATTCTACAGACTGTTGAGATATCAAAGTAAATTGAAGCGGCTACAGCACTCCCAATTTTAAAGGACATATCAATGTAGTTCATTTTTTCAAATTGAAACTAAACAGCGCGTCAAGTTTAACACTTGCTACTATTTTCTCCCAATGGCAAAAACACTATAAAATGAATGCAATTCTGTAAAATTACTCATTTTTGCTGTTTATAGAGAAAGAAGAGTCATTACGCAATGTCTAAATGAATGGAAATATGTCAGTTGCTGTTATGAAAATGTATAGAAAAATTACTTATAGCCGTCGACAACTAATTAGAAACGGGTATAATGTCTCGATATTTTTGTATTATTCCTTTTATTTCGAGAATAAATGCTGAAAAAATGTATCGGTTTGAATATTTGAAGTTTTTCTGAGCCAATTATAGTTATGGTTCAACTGGTGTTTTGGACAAATGTAGTTTTGCGATGAAAATTTTCAAGAATTTCAAAAATCAAAACCCTTTACAAAAAATAAAACGTAAAACGTAGTAGCCAGTTCAATCATAATTCGAACAAATACTCTTCTGAACACACTAGAAAAAATGGCACTAGGCAGTCGATCATTCGAAATGAACTTAAGGGGACCGCTAGCTGTAGCTGTAGCTGTGATGACAGTTGTCTGGGTTTTTATAATCCAACCGGGTATGCAGGAAAAATACATTCTTTATAAGAAAAATAAATACCATCTCTGCTAGCAAGTAAGAAAAAAATCATTGAATGACTCGAAATTTTCAAATCGTTTTTCATTTTCTAGCATATTCTCTCAAATGTTGGGAATGTAAACTCCATAGAAATGAGCCATGGTGTAATGATCCTTTTGATAAGCATAATGTTGTTGAACAAAACAGAGTCTTAATTTGTAGTGCGTTCACACTTAATGTGCGCTGTCAAACGTTAGACATTTGAAACACGAAAAGGGACACCAATACATTCATACGTTCACTTTGCATACACTCCGTATAGTTTAGCATAAGCATCATTCTTTCTTCTCTCACCAGCTCCCGAACTGTAAACAACAAACTCAACTTTGATATTCAGAATTAAACAATATAATTTAATAAGGAAATTCAAGTGTTTTATATTTAGTTATTTGATTTATTCCCAGCATTTTTCTACAGGTTATGGGCCCAGAACCATAACAAATTAGATAATTGAATTAAAACAATAAAGTCAAAGTCAAAGTAAAGATCTCAGTTGAGTTGAAAAATACAGCGAACAACTAAAGAAAAATGGCGGACGCCACTAAAGCAAATATTACAAAGTTAAACAACGAAAACTACAGCAATTGGAAATTTCGGATGGAGTTATTGTTGAGAGCAAGAAATTTATGGAAAAAGGTGATTGAGAGCAAAAGGCCAGCACCAAAAACATCGACTGGATCGTCGGCGATAACAAATCAAACGGAATTGGATGCTTGGGATGTATTGGACGACGAAGCAAGAGGTATCATCGGTTTAGCGGTCGACGACAGTCAACTCACGCACATACGCAACAAGAAAACAGCAAAAGAAACATGGGACGCATTAAAAGAATTTCATGAAAAAGTGTCACTCACAAACGTACTCGCTGTAATGAATCAAGTTTTCAAACTTCGTTTGGTTGAAGGTGGCGATGCAAAGGCACACATTTTGCAAATGCAAGATTTACTCCAAAGATTAACTGATTTAGGTGAAGAGCAAATGTCGGAAAGATGGAGCGCCGGACTGTTGATGTTCAGTTTGCCAAACAGTTACAGTACGGTAGTTTCAGCGATACAAAATTTGCCAGTGAAGGAAATCACGTTTGCATTGGTTTCACAACGAGTGATAGCGGAATTTGAGCGAAAACAGAATTCATCGGCCGACCAAAGTTCAGGTGACTCAATTTTAAAGACAGTAGCAAGTGTTAATGCGTGTTATTTCTGCGGTAAAAATAACCATTTAAAGAGAAACTGCATCAAGTATAAGCAATGGTTATCAAAGCGTGGCATTAGCAAAAACAGAGAAAATGGGCATCACAGCGATAAAGTAAATGCAATTGAAGAAAATCAGCCGAGTACATCGAATTCAAGTGCGCAACAAAATGTCGATTTTCTGTTCACATTCAATGAAATCAAATTAAACAGAAAAATGCGAAGAGGAAAAATGTCATGGATTATGGATTCAGGCGCAACACGGCATGTAGTGAACGACAAAAGTTTTTTCGTCGATTTTGATGAGTCATACCAAGGCACAGTGAAATTAGCGAATGGTCAAGTGGTTCCAGTTAACGGTATCGGCTCCGGTGATATCACATTCATCGACGAGAAAGGTCACATACACACAGTGAGAGCGCATGAAGTTTTATTCGCGCCAAATTTGGTCAGCAATATTATTTCAGTAAAACGTTTGACCAAAATGGGATTTCGCATCGAATTTGATAGCAGAATTTGTGAAATTAAATACAAAGAAAAACAAATTGGTGTAGCAGATATTATTGGTGATTTGTACGTACTACGTGAGCCAGATACAGTTTGTGCGGTACTTGAGCACAATGACAATTGCATTCACCAGTTGCATCGAAAAATGGGGCATCGGGATCCGGCAGCAATACAGAAAATGGTTGCGTTTGGCTCAATTGAAGGACTGAAAATTGTCGATTGCGGAATTAAAGAGGTATGTGAAGTATGCATTAAAGGAAAACTAACCAGAGTACCATTTCCAAAGCAATCGAAGAGTGAGTCATCGGCACCGTTACAATTGATACACACCGATGTCTGTGGGCCTATGCAGACGGCAACACCAAGCGGAAAGAGATATGTGGTAACTTTTATCGATGATTTTTCGGGATTTACCATCATTTGTCTGCTCGCTCACAAATCAGAGGTCGAAGAAAATATGAAGCAGTTTGTTACATTTTGTAAAACAAAATTTGAGCGCACGCCGAAAATCATCAGATCAGATCGTGGAGGCGAATACATGGGAAACAGCGTCAAAGATTTTCTGAAATCAGAAGGTATTCAAATGCAATGTACAGCAGCATACAGTCCACAGCAAAATGGAAAAGCCGAACGAAAGAACCGTACGCTGGTGGAAATGGCAAGATGCATGCTGATTGACGCGAATTTACCATACACATTTTGGGGCGAAGCAATTGCAACAGCTAATTACATTCAAAACAGAGTTATTACCAGAACGACCAATACAACACCGTATGAACGTTGGAATGGTTCAAAACCAGGTATTAAAGAATTTCATGTTTTCGGTTCTAAATGTTACGTTCATATACCCTCAGAAAAGAGACGCAAGTTGGATGATGTAGCAGTCGAAACGATTTTCTTGGGCTATGATGAAAATTCAAAGGCTTACCGATGCTACAACACCAACACAAAAAAGGTCGTTATCAGTCGTGACGTCAAGTTTTGCTCACTGAACACAATCACATCTGATGAGCAATTGGTTCCAGTAGAATTGTCGACATCGTCACACAAGTCATCAATTCAGGAGGAGAATGAACCAATCCAGGAGAAGATCTCAGATACGACCGAGAATTCCGAAAATACCGAAAATGAAAGGGTTGTTCCACGAGTTTCGGAACGTTCAACGAAAGGAATTCCACCAATGCGTCTAATTGATGAGATATTCATTGCTCATGAGGTCATCGAACCAAAGTCATACAACGAGGCAATCGAAAGCAACAATAAGGTGCATTGGCTCACAGCGATGCAAGAAGAGATTGAGTCACATGCATACAACGGTACATGGGAATTGTCCGAGTTACCAAAGGGCAAAACAGCGATTGGCAGCAAGTGGGTATTCAAGGCCAAAACCGGGGCGGATGGTGAAGTGGTGCGCTACAAGGCGCGTCTCGTCGCTCAAGGATTTTCACAGAAATACGGCGAAGACTACGACGAAGTATTTGCACCGGTTGTATCGATCACAACGTTCAGAACGCTATTGTCAGTGGCAGCGAAAAGGAAAATGCATGTTTATCATCTCGACGCTAAAACTGCATTCCTGAACGGCAAGTTGGATGAAACCATTTACATGAAACAACCACAAGGTTTTCACAGCGGTGATGCATCGAAAGTTTGTTTACTGAGGAAAAGTATCTACGGGCTGAAGCAAGCAGCTCGATCATGGAACAATGCATTGCACAACGTACTCATCGAAGCGGGTTTTCATCAGAGCTACAACGACCCATGCCTTTACACAAAACAAATATCAGGTCAGTTTTGTTATGTCATTGTTTACGTTGATGATTTGATCGTCGTATGCCAAACAACACAGCAGCTACATCACATCGAAAGCATTTTCAAGTCACATTTTAAAATGCAAAATTTGGGTGCTATCAGTCACTATTTGAGCATTCAAGTTACTAAAGACGGCAACGGAAACTACGAGTTGAATCAGTCGACATACATAAAACAAATTGCATCTGACTTTGGGCTCATGGATGCGAAGTCAACCAAAACACCATTGGACGTTAGCTATGGTAAAAGTGATGATGTGTCTAGTCAACTTGATAGCAACACAAAGTACAGACGATTGGTTGGGCGATTGCTATATTTGTCAGTCAACTCGAGACCAGACATTTCAGCGAGCGTAAGCATTTTAGCACAAAAAGTATCCAAGCCAACAACGCAAGATTGGGAACAGCTAAAACGAGTTGTGAAATACCTAAAGTCAACGCACAACTTGAAATTAAAA